AATCAATTTTTTTCCACATTACAATTTTTATATACATGCTATCAAAAATTGATTAATTTATACTTTTTTTAATAACATGCTTTTTTTGTTAGTTTACGATAAACTTTGTAAGACGATACAGAGAACTACAATTCGTAAAAGTGCAGTAGTGCAAAAAAACAATTTTATTTCGAATATGTGTGTGTGTGTTTGTGTAAACAGACGAAAAGTTTTAAATCAAGACAAGACAGAAGAAAGACCCTTGCTTTTTAGAAATTTTTTATCTTTTTTTTTTTGGAAAAAATGTGATAGAAAAATTATATTACATTTATATAGAGAGAAGAAAAAAAAGAATGTGCAAAAACCCGGGTGCGTGCAGGTGCGGCCACAATTTTCATTCAATTTAATAGTGTCACAAATTTTTTACTCAACAAAAATTGCGAACATTTTATTGTGGTTTTTAATTGAATAATTTAAATATATTTCAAACTTAAATTTAAAATTTAATTTAATTTAAACTAATAATATAATTTTATTATAAAATAATAGTTATATAATTATATCATAATGTTTATAATTATAATTTAAATAATTGATGTTAATTTCAAATTCACTAAAATAGTTCATGCAAAAAATTTGTAACACTTTTTCCATCTTTTAAAACGTTTAAGAACTTCGCAGTCTAGTTTTATTTCTGATAAAAATAAAATTATATAAAATGTTAATTTAATAATAAAGTAAAAATTTTTTTACTCTATAATATTTGCTGATAGTATTAGTAAAAAGAAGAAGACTTTTCCTGCAATTAATTTAAAAGTAAAAAATTAATTTACATAAAATAAAAAATAATAAATTAAAATTGTGTTTCTAAAAATGTTTCTACAATTATTGGGAATTGAAATTTAATTTATAATTCAAAAATAAAAAATGGTGAAGTAAAAATATTTGTACTTGATAATATTTGCTAATAATATTGTTAGAAAGAAATAAAATAATTCTATAGTTAATTTTTATTTATTAGTTTAGAAAACAATACAGGACATTAAAAATTTTAATAATTGGATAAATTTTGTACAATATTGAAAGTCATTAGTATTAATTCGTTAATAATTAAAAAAAAATTAAAAATTAAAAATATTGAGAAATATTAAAAATCAAATATAGAAATGAAAAATATTGAAAATTTTATAAAAATAATAGGAAATATTAAAAGTTAGGTAGAAATAGTGAAAATTAAATAAAATTTAAAATTAAATAAATAAAATATTAAAATATTAAAATTATAAATGAAGTAAAGAATATAAAAAAAGAAAAAGGATTATTTTTCTCAAACAAAAAATTGCTGTAATATTTCTACTATTTTTTTTTTTTTATTTGCTAAGTTCCTAAACGAAAAGTTTTGGAAATGCAGGTGGCCCATGGTGGTGATTGGTGAATTACGGAAAAGGGTTCAGGGTTGCAATATTTCAGTCTTACCACCACCATAGCCAAAGTCTGGTTCTGACTTGTCTAGCGCCTGGATCTCCATTTTTCTCAGCAGCTTCGTTGTAGCGGTGGTAGTAGTTGTGGGCGTTCCTGCACAACAAACACCACATACGGTAAAAAAATAAAAAAAAATTATACAACTTCGCCAGATCGAAATTAAAAAATATATATAGTATTTCTTTCATTTTTTTTATTGTTCTCTAAACCAATTCTTGGGTCTTGATTTTATTTTTGATTCCCGCTTTGATATTTTATTGAAAATCATACCGTAAAAAATGAGTAAATAAAAAGTAATAAGAGAGTAAATAACTGAGTGAATTGTAAGAATATTTAATTTTATTCTCGAAAATTGTATTTTTTTGAAGGCAATTTTATTTTTTAAATTTTAAATTTAAAATTTTGTATTTCTATTTTACATTTCTCTTATATTTTCTGTTTTACATTTCTGATTTCTGTTTTTATTTTCTATTTTTACTTCTTGACTTTTGTACCTATTTATTATTTTTTTTTACCAAAATAAAAATTTTTTAATTATAAAAAAGTTTTCGAGAAATAAAATGGTGGTTTAATTTCTTCACTTGAGAACGTCAAGGTCGCCACCAGGTGGCGAGAAGTCTGATTAAATCAACTGAACTGACACCTAGCGGTGACCTTGGCGTTCGCAGGTGGAGTCTCCAATTTTTTTTTAGAGAATTAATTTCTTCATTGAATAACTTAAAATTTTAAATCTCGGATTAAAAAAAAATACCAATGGTTGACTTTTTTTTAGCGAAATAAGTGTCATTAGTAATTTATTTATAAAAATAGTAAATAAATAGTTGTATGAAGTGAAAAAGTATCAACAGTTGCGTGACTACGAAACTAGTAATATTTTTAATTTATTTTCTGGAAATTACATTTTGTAAATGTTTTTAATTTATTGTTTTCAAATTATATATTTAAATAAAGTGGTTTAAATTATATTTTTTAATAAAATGTTTTAAATTATATTTCATGAAGTTATTAATTTTATCTCAAAAATGTTAAAAAATAATTATTCAAAAAATGTGAAACTTTTCTGCATAACAAACGGAAGTTCGATGTTCATAAAATGAAACGTGTAAAAGAAGTAATTTTATAATTTAAAATCCGTATGTGAGGCCTGTAGGGCTCAAAAATAAATTTCAAAAGAAAAGTTGATTACTGTATTAATTAAAATCTAACATTAAACAACAGTGCCAACGCCTGTTTTGCATGAGAAATAAGTTTGAACCAGTTTGAAAATCCAAATCACGTGCTCCAAAATGGCCCACCCTTCACCGGAATTATTAATACCCAATAGTATTTAAGCATATACATATACACAAAACTCTTACATAATTGAATTGATTTTCAATTACAGACAAAATTATTTTCCTATTCATTTCTTTAGAACCCTCTAAAGTTAGAAAAAAAGAGATATTTCCATATAAAAGAATTTTTATATAATGTATATTTTTCTTTGAAATTCAGAGAGAATCTTATTTTAAAAATAATTTTTATAATGAGATTGACAGAAAATTTTTCCCTTCTTTTTATATTATTTTTTTTTCTTTATACCAAAGACGAAGTTGGGTTTTATAATGGCAAATAATGTGTTACAATTCCAGGGGTAATGATATTTTCAAGTACTAATGCGTATTCAAAAAAAAAAAAAAAAAAAAAAAAAAAAATGTCGCATAATGGAATGAAAAGGATTTATATTACGTGACTTCAAAGAAGCTTAGAGTGAAAATATATTTTACATTCTTCAATTGGCAGTATGCGCGAAGAGCTTTGGAGCTTTCCATTCAAAGCAGATACATATTTTTTTTACTTTTCAATAATAATGGGGAAACTTTTTTACATAATCTTTACATTTACATTTTACAGTAATAAAATAATAATTTTTAGTTTTAATAATTTTTTTTTTAAAACAGTTTTTAACTGGAATTTTTATTTACACATATTCATTTTCAAATATTTTTAAATGTTTAGAACTTTTTTGAACTTTTTTGAACTGTTTATAACTATTTTAAACAATTTTGAATTCTTTTAAAATATTGTGAACTGTTCTGAACTATTCTAAAATATTTTAAACTATTTTGGATTATTTAGAACTATTTTAAATATTTTGATCTTTTTTTTTTAGTTTTTGAAACTATTTTGAACTATTTTTAACAATTTATAATTATTTTTAAATATTTTTTAACATTTTGAGCTATTTTTAAATATTTTGAACTATTTTAAACTATTTTTGACTATTTAGAACTATTTTTAATATTTTGAAATTTGAACTATTTGGAACTATTTGGAACTATTTTAAAATATTTCAAAACGATTTTGAATTTTTTTTTTAAGTATTTATTTTTAAATACATTTTTTGAAAAGAATTTCTATTTTAAAATATACTATTTTAATTTTATTTAATTTAAATTTTATTTTTTTTTCTCCCCGTAGAACGTGAATGACAAAAAATAAATAATTTTAAAAGCTTGATTTTATATTGTCAATAGTATTTTTTTTTTTTATAAAAAGAAGAGAGATCTCATAGTGATGTAAACCACAAATGTTCGATTTCGATAAACATTAAACGCTTCATTCTATTTGAATTTATTTCATGAAATTGGGGAAAATAGGACAAAATTTAATTTCAGTAAATATTCAGGATCAGTAAATTGGAAACTTGAAAATCCTTTCTAATCTTGAAAATTTAGCAGAACCAGGAATTTCGACCCCGTTGTTCTAAATTTATTTCACAGTGGCGTTGAGCCAGGAGCACTTTGAATTTACATTACTAAACTCAAATGAAATTTTGTTTCATTTAATGGATCGCTTTTATGATAAAATTTATCGTAAGTTTATCATTTGAAATAAATTCTCCCAAAGCAATGAAAGGTTTAAATGATTCTCTCATCTCAAAAAAAAAAAAAAAAAAAAAAAAAATGATAAAACAAACGAAAAATTTCATTTTTGTTATATTACCTTTTTTTATTTTTAATAATTAAATTAATTACTACAAAATGTATGATAAATTTTAATAAATCCTCTAACAATTTCTCTAACGAAATGTATATTCAATTTTCATCCACGCAAGCGATGAATTAATTTTTTTTTTCATTCATGAAAATTTTTCACCTTTTCCACTTTTTAAAACTGGTTCATTAAAGTTTCGAGGAAATTAATAATTTTTGGAAATATAAAAATTAATTTTTCATGTAAGATGTAAATTTTTAATATTAAAATTCTATGGAAATGTGAAATATTCAAAATTAAGGTTAAAATCAAATAGATTTTAATTAAATTTTAATCATAATTTTACTTCTGTCAGATGGATAAAAGATTCTTTTTTTTTAATTGAATTTTTGAATATTAAGTCGAGTGGAGAAGATTTAATTTTTTTTTAAAATAATGATGTCTATTATTGAATAAGGAACAAAGCGAGAGGGATATTTTAAGGGGGGCGTTCATTAATTATAAATATTGAAAGCTATTAAATTTTGGTTAGAGATTAATTTACAATTTCAGGGGATACTGACCAGGTTGGTAGATTAATTCACGGGAGACGTTATAATTAGCCATTGGTATGCTGAGGGTGCACTTCAGAATTGCTAACTCGGGCAAATCTTCATCCTGCAAGTCGACTCTTGTCAAAATATCGTAATATTGCGATCCCGGCGCCATTGTAACTACCGGTTTCGTTGAATATTTTGTCTCAACTCCCCTGTAGAGAAACAAATGTTATTATTAGTTTTTGTAATTTTCTTTTAGAGGGGGGACAAACATAAAATGAAAATTAAATCAAAATTTTTCTCTAAATTTTCTATCTAGGGGGAATTGTCTTTTTTTCAAAAATATTCTCTGTTTAGAAACAAAAATTAAATTATTAGTTTTATTAATTTTTGTAAAAGTAAAAAAAAAATTTCAAGTTTTTGAAAAAATAAAATAGAAACTAAATTTTTCTCAGGCATAAAATTAAATTCTCCATTGAGACGTAATTTTTTATATTCTTTTTTCGCAAAATTTTTTAAAAGAAAAATTTCTAGAGAAATATTTTATAATTACTTTTCAGAAACAAACTCTATTATTAGTTTTTTTCCAATTTTTTTTCCAGTGGACAAAAAAATCATAAAATCAAATAAAATCTTAATTTTTCTCTCATTCTCGATTTGAAATTTAATTTTTTCTCTCAAAATCAAATTTTTCCATTGAGATTGAATTTTCTCCTTTATTTTTTTTTTTTGCAAAAAATTTTTTTATACTTGAATAAATATTTCACCATGTAAAATTATTTTCTTAGCGATTTTTTTCCCCACCTTTGTTTTCAAATTCGTCCACTGAAAATATACGAACTAATGAGTTTTAGAGAGAGAGAATATTCATATGTTAAAGTTAAAAAAAAAGGGAAAACTACATGGCAATTTCGTTGTGCAATTTTCTAGTTTAACATCGAGAAGAAAAGTTGTAAATGGCAATGTCATCGCAGATACATACTCAACGGAAATGTCGAGAGTGGGTTGAGGATATAGCCCTTCGGCGAGACACGTCACTTCCAAACCCTCTTTTTCTTCCACGACAGTTCTTCTCGTGATCAATTTAAATTTTTTTTCCGTTGCTGAAACAAAATATCGTACCATTATTTGTTAACTGAACTCTTGACTTGTCTAAACTCTTGAAAATTCACTAATATATATATATATATATATATATATATATATATATATATATATATTTACAAATTTTTTCCACTCTTTGACAAATATATTTATTTTTCCCCTCATTTCTTTTTTTTTCTATACTTTTTTTCTATTATTTTTTTTTTACTATTTTTTCCCTTATAATAAAGCGAATGAAACTTTTAGCATCTACTGTCCAGAAAATGAATTCACTTTATTTCATATATGAAATTTTTCTTCTCTTGGTTATTGTGATTTTTTTTCAGTTTATTTTTCTGATTTTTTTTTTTTTTTTTTATTTTCGAATGTGAAAACCATTACGGAATTTTTTTTTAGAACAATCTTTTTGGTTAGTTCTGCTGACCCATTTGATGTGATAACAGCTTGCGTGATCAAATATAAAAGCTTTCCGAGTCTATTTTCTATGTTGTTGACTGCATTCTCTGATATGAGCGAGTTTCTTTTTTTTTTAATACAAAATCAAATTGTCTTTTTACCAAAACGTTTTTCTTCTTACAGTTCGAAAAGAAATTCTACATTGATGAAAAATTTATTTCATACAAATAACCGATTACTTCTTTATTATGGAATCAATCATTTACTTTTAAATTAAATAATTTTTATTTAAATCAGAAGAATTGTATTTGAATGAATTTCAATATTTTTAGCGAATAGAAATTTTTTTAAAAAAAGTAGATATCGAAAAACTAAACTTAACGACCAAAAAAACTCGTTTTAGACACTTTACAAAACTGAAAACAATTCTAATCTATATTTCATTTTTTTGACTTTTTTCTAATTTTCATGAAAAATATTTATTTCTTTCTTATCCTGCTAATAAATTGAATTCCTGCAACGAATTTTAATATTCATAAAAAAAATTTTAAATTTAAATATTTATAAAAATAATTTAATCCTTGCGAAGAATATTATAAAAAAAATTTAAATAATTGATTTCTTTCGACTAATTTTAAGAAAATTCTAATTTAAATACATAGTTGAATTCCAAAAAAATTTTTATTATTCATAAAAAGAATTGAATTCTTACGAAGATTTTTACAAAAAATTTTTAAATAATTGAATTTCTAAAAAGCATTTAATTATTTATGAAAATAATTTAATTCTTGCTAACGATTTTACTAGAATTTTTTAAATAATTGAATTTCCAAGAAGAAATTTATTACTTTAAAAATTATTGAATTCTTGTGATGAATATTGTTATTTATGTTAATAATAAATAATTGAATTATTAAGAAGAATTTTATTAAAATCTAAAAGAATAATTGAATTATTTCAAAAAACAGTAATTAAAATTGTATTTAAAAAATTGATTTCTTTTTAACAATTTTTTAAAAATATTTTTAAATAATTGAATTCCTGTGAAAAGCTCTAATATTTTTGTAAATAATTGAATTCTTCCAAAGAATTTTAAAATAATTCATCATTTTTCGAAAATAATTTTTGAGCAATTTTTGTAAAATTGTATTAAAAATAATTGAAATTCTACTATGAATTTTATTATTTATGAAAATAATTGAATTGAGTTGCTATAAGAATTTTATTAAATTTTTCAAAAATAATTGAATTCCTGAATAGAATTTTATTATTTATGAAAATAATTGAATAGTTGCTAAGAATTTTATTAAAATTTTCAAAAATAATTGAATTTCTGAGTAGAATTTTATTATTTACTAAAATAATTGAATTCCTGAGAAGAATTTTATTATTTATAAAAATAATTAAATTATTGCCAAAAAGTGTATTAAAATGTTTAAAAAGAATTTCTGTAAAAAATTTGTTCGAAATATAGTAAATATTATGAAAATTTTATTTTAAATAATTGAATTCGTGTGGAAAACTTTATTTGTGAAAATAAATGAATTTTTAATTAATTTTATTAATTTTTAATTAAACAATTGAATTCTCTTACGAAATTTTATGAAAATACTAGATATTGAAAATAATTGAATTTCGAATATTTTTTGAAAATAATTGAATTATCAAAAATAAATAATTAATGATTAAAAATTGAAATTAAAAATTAAAAAGAATTTAAAAAACCAAATAATTGTTTATTTGCTTCAAATAAATTATTTCCCATTATATTTTTCTACTCGAACGCAGGTGAGAGAAAAATTATCACTGAAAAAAAAGATACGTACGTTTTGTCTTTCAAACCAAAAAAAAAAAAAAAAAAAAAAATACTGTTACTGTTTAAATATGTACATTATGGATTCGATAGTAAAATTTTAAAAAATTCCACACACACACATTCTTTTGAATACGTTTTTGAGAATCTTATCACGCTCGTTGGTCGATTGCAGACTTTCCCTTCAATACAAAAGCCGGAAGTTACACTTCCGAAACATTGTCGATGGTTGGTGGGTGGTTTTGTGGAAAGAGGGGGGTAGAAAGGGAGCAGCACACGTACCGTTGAAAATAAAAATGTAATAATAATGGATCCGCGTCGCATAGAATGCGCTGCTGCATTACCGCGACAATGCGGAACTTCTTCCAGCTTCTTTTACTTCCATTTTATATTACCGCAAGAGACTTTTATTTCGAAAAAACGAATGACTCGAAGAGAGAAAGGGAGTAAAAAAAGAGAGAGAGAGAGAGAGTGAGTGAAAAGGAATAAATAAAAGTACACCTTGGGGTTAAAATCCTAGTAACAGTAGTCACGATACAATTTTGTTTCTCTCTTTTTCTCCATCTCTCTCTCTCTCTTTTACAATTGATCAAATAAAAATCGACACATTGGTGTATCAATTTTTTAAAATATCTAAGCTTTTTTGTAGATTCTTTTGTTTCTCCTTTTATAAAATAATTAACATTATAATTAAAAAATAATAATAGAATTCTTAAATTAGAATTAGAATTAGAATTCTATTATTACTATGTAAAATTCTAGAATTAGAATTAGAATTCTTGAATTAGAATTAGAATAAGGATCAAAATGATAATTAAAATTAGAATTCTTGAATTAGAATTAGAATAAGGATCAAAATGAGAATTAAAATTAGAATTCTTAAATTAGAATTAAAAATAGAATTAGAATTATACTTCTTGAATTAAAATTAGAATTAAAATTAGAATTAAAATTAGAATTCTTGAATTAGAATTAAAATTAGAATTCTTGAATTAGAATTAGAATTGAAATTAGAATTCTTTACTTAGAATTAGAATTAAAATTAGAATTCTTGAATTAGAATTAAAACTAGAATTAGAATTATACTTCTTGAATTAAAATTAGAATTAAAATTAGAATTCTTGAATTAGAATTAGAATTGAAATAAGAATTCTTTACTTAGAATTAGAATTAAAATTAGAATTCTTAAATTAGAATTAGAATTGAAATTAGAATTCTCTACTTAGAATTAGAATTAAAATTAGAATGAAAATTAGAATTCTTGAATTAGAATTAAAACTAGAATTAGAATTAGACTTCTTGAATTAAAATTAGAATTAAAATTAGAATTAAAATTAGAATTCTTGAATTAGAATTAAAATTAGAATTCTTGAATTAGAATTAGAATTGAAATTAGAATTCTTTACTTAGAATTAGAATTAAAATTAGAATTCTTGAATTAGAATTAAAACTAGAATTAGAATTATACTTCTTGAATTAAAATTAGAATTAAAATTAGAATTCTTGAATTAGAATTAGAATTGAAATAAGAATTCTTTACTTAGAATTAGAATTAAAATTAGAATTCTTAAATTAGAATTAGAATTGAAATTAGAATTCTCTACTTAGAATTAGAATTAAAATTAGAATGAAAATTAGAATTCTTGAATTAGAATTAAAACTAGAATTAGAATTAGACTTCTTGAATTAAAATTAGAATTAAAATTAGAATTAAAATTAGAATTAAAATTAGAATTCTTGAATGAGAATTAGAATTGAAATTAGAATTCTTTACTTAGAATTAGAATTAAAATTAGAATGAAAATTAGAATTCTTGAATTAGAATTAAAACTTGAATTAGAATTAGACTTCTTGAATTAAAATTAGAATTCTTGAATTAGAATTAAAACTAGAATTAGAATTAGACTTCTTGAATTAAAATAAGAATTCTTGAATTAGAATTAAAACTAGAAACAATATAAAAACAATGTATAATCAAAGAATTAGTATTAAAATTGAAACTAAAATTAGAATTAGAATCAGAATTATGATTAGAATTTGAATAAGAATTTTAGAATTTAAATTGAAGCTAATATTAGAATTTGAATTAGAAATAGAATGATAAAATTATAATTATAATTATAATTAGAAATAGATTTAGAATGTTAAAATAAGAATTAGAATTAAAATTAAAATTTGAATAATAGAATTAAAATTGCAAATGAAATTAAAATTAGTATAGAATTCGAACTAGAGTTTAAGTCCGAACTAAGTTTAAATTTAAAATTCGGTTTAAAACTAGAAATAGAATTAAAATTAAAATTAGAAATAGAATTAGAACATTAGAATTAGAGTTAAAAAATAATTATTTATTTTTTTATGCATTTACTCACATTCATTTCTGGCATGAATTTAAATTAATATTAAAATTCCGTTTAAAATTAGAATTTGAAAATTCGAATTGGAATTAAAATTAAACTTCAATTTCAGAATTTGAATAAAAATTAAAATTAGTATTTTAGAATTCGATTTCGAAATAAAATTAAAATTTTAATATCAGAATTTGAATTAGAACAAAAATAAATTAAAAATTGAAATTAGAAGTGAGATTCGAAGTAAATGAACAACTTTAAATTTTGCATAAAAATTAAATTTATAGTCTTAATGAAAATTCAGATAAATATTATATGTAGAATGTAAATTAGAATTAAAATTTTATAATTTGAATTAAAAGTAGAATTAAAATAAGAAATAGAATAAGAATTTCATAAATATGATTAGAAATTAGAAAAAATTAAACTTGAATTACAAATGGAAATTCAATAAGAACTTGAAAAATATAATTAAAATTATCATTTTTCGATAATTAATAAAAGTTGAAATAATTATAAAATTAAAATTAGAATTTCTCCATTTTTACAGTCTAGTAAAATTTATTTGACAACGAATTGACGAAATTTTAGTCTCTCTATTGTTTCTCGGCTGTTGGGATTGAAATTTTCTATTATGAGGATCGGATTTGATTAACATTAGTCAATTTCGGTTTACTAAAGGCTTTAAGGTGGAAGCGCACGCGTGCTACAACATTATACTGATTAACTAAATCAATTGTTCAAGCTCAAGCTATTCCATGCCTGAATTTCAGTCAGAAGCTTGTTACACTAATCTACCTCAAGTTAACTACTCAAATGGATTAATAATCTTCGAACTAACACTGCAGTGATAATCCACAATAATTACTCTATTTCATTTCATATAGGAAAAGAAATTAATTTTCCTTTTTTTTATTTATTTCTCAGAAAACTCCAATTTATTTTCTAGACATTAAATGAATGACATAAATTAATTAGAATAAAATAATTTAGTTTAAAATTTATAATACGTACAAATTACAAATTTAAATGAAATTTAAATTAAATATTCTATTTAATAAGCTTCGATGCAATTTAGAATAATTTGCTAATTAATGAAAATAATTCAGTTTTGAAATGTAATTTTTCTTTTAAAAATTAGATGAGTGAATATTTTTTTTGTTGAAACTTACAGTAAACAACCATGGAGCCTTTGGCTTGAGTTTCGTCGGCAACAGTTGAGATGTCACACATATACGTGCCAGTAAGATCGACACTGGGGTTAATCAATTTCATAGCGCGATACATTGTATAGGGATCTTCGCTCGCTTTGTATTGAACGTCTATGTATTTCTGAAAACTGGGTTCAGCCGTTGGTTGTCGTCCATAAATCCACTGATATGCAACATAGCCATCATCTGACGATGATTTATCGTCCTTAAAGTACCACCATTTCACAACTAAAAGTGTACTAGAAGTTCCTTCAAGATCATAATCACAATCTAAAATCACAAAATCCTCCTTTCCCTCCCTCACTGTCTCTGGAATGCTCACATCTTTTATCTTCAATTCCAATGATTCTGAAAGCAAAAATAAACAAAAAAATTTATTTATTTATAACAATTATATTAAATAACAATTTTTTATGACAAAAATAATTTATTACTTATGTCTCATGTTGAATTGAGTATAAATAAATAAACAAATAAATTAACAAATAAATAAATATACTGATACATTTTTATTATAAATTTATTAATATTACATTTATGGTCCAAATGGACTGCGGGATATTATCATAAATAAATAAATAAGTAAAGAAATAAGCAAATTAATAAGAAAATAAATAAACAAATAAGTAAATAAATAAATGAACATACAGATAAGTGAGAAAATGAATAAATTAAAAAGGGAACAAACAGACAAACAAAAAAAGGTAAATAAACAAGTAAATAAATAAATAATTCAATAAACTGATGAGTAAATAAAAAATGTAAACAAATAAATAAACAAACAGACGAATAAACGAATAAGTAAATAAAAAGATATAAACAAATTAATAAACAAATAAAAATAAAAAATAAAGACAAACAATAAACAGATAAGTAAATAGTAAATTTAAGTAAATAACAAAAAAAAAACAATTAAGCAACTAAATAAACAAGTAAATAAACAAATCAATAAATAAATAAACAAATATGTAAGAAAATAAATAAATAAATTATCTAACAGATAAATAAGAAAATAAGTAAATTAAAAAAGTAAAAAACAGACAATTATACAAAAAAGTATATAAACGAATAATAAATAAACAATTAAGTAAAAAATAACTATAAAAACAGATAAATAAAAAAATATATGAACAAATAATTAAACAAATAAAAAAATAAATGATTAAATGATGAAGCCAATTATTAATTTTTAAATAAGAAAATAAACAAATAAATGAACAAAACAAACGAATAAAAAAATAAGTTAATAAATGGATACAAATAAAAAACAAATAAATAATCTAATAAATCAAGAAACACGCAGATAAACAAATAAAAAAAAGGAATAAATAAATAAATATTCTAACAAATGACCAAATAAATAAACTAAAATAAACAAACTAAATACTAATCTAATTAAACAAATAAATAAACAAACAGACAAATAAACAAATAAGTAAATAAATAGATAAAAATAAAAAAGTAAGTAAATTAAATTAAATGAAATAAAAAAAATTAAATTAAATTTATTTAATTAAATTCCAAGTCACTTTTCATAATTATTATTAATATCTAATAATTTTTTTATACAATTTTCTTTATTGTATAATAACCAGTTTTTATAATTTCATTCTACTCGAATAATTATTTTGCATAATTTTTTTGTCACCGAAATTATATTTTAAATAATTTTTTATTACTCGAATTTTTATTTTTTCTAATATTTATTTGTACAAATAATTAATTTTTCTAATTTTTATTTTTCCCAATTTGTATTTTACGTAACATCCATTTATTCTGAGATTTACAAATTTATTAAATCTAATAATAAATTTAAATTTATTCTCTAATTTACAGTTTTTGAATCGTTATTTGACAGAATAAGAAATGCAAATAATAGTTATTTTACCTATATTAAACTTCTGGTTAGACTGTCAATTGGTCATTCAAAAACATAGTGTTTCTAAAAATTATTTTTTCGATTAAAAGAAATTATAATTAATTCTTATTAAATAAAAAGAATTTCGATAAAATAAAGATTTGGAAAATAAAAATTGAAGACTTTTCATGCGCCTCCAATAATTAAACAAATACAATCCTTCCTGTATGAGGAAGCAATAAATAAATAGATGAGTAAACACTAAACACTGAACAGTAAATTCAAGTAAATAAACTAAAAAATAAATATAAATATTTTAACAAATGACCGAATAAATAAATCAAATAAATAAGTAAATAAACAAGTAAATAGCAAAATAAATAAAATATAATAAATAAATTTAAAAATAAATAAATATACAGATATAAAATTTTTTTCTTTTAGAAATTCAATTTTCCCAGTAATGAAAATTCTTAACTTGATGAAGAGTGAAACAATTGGAAAAATCAAGTTGATTATTTTCTTTTTTCGCTTATATAAAAACAAGAACAATAGTTCATCAGAGGAATTGTTGAGAAACAAGTTTTCGATTTTGGACGTACAAAAAAAAATCAACTAGTTTGTATCGCGCGGAATATCTCCTCTCTCGCTCTCTTTATATCTCTATACTCTCTAGTACCAGCATATCGGGTGCATATGTGGATCAATAGAGCGTGCTCTTCCATGGTATATAGTATATGTAGGGAGAGAGAGAGAGAGAAAGCCATAACGCATGGTGACAAACTGCATAAGGTTATGCAAGCATGACATCAAAATATTACCCGCACCCGCTAAATTTCGGCTCGACGATTCGCGGATTAATTCAAGCGAATGGTCAAGCCGTTCAAGTGTGAAATCAGTGTCAAAAAGCAAAATGAGCAAACGACAAAACTATGACAGATGATAAGGGTTCGAAAAGTGTAAAACACATTTTAACAGATTCCACAATTTAAAAATATTTTAAATATTACTTTTGTAAACAGTTTTCTCACTATTTAGAACAAAAGTGTGAACTATATTTCAGTCAGTTCTATACATTTGAAATTCATTTCTATTGAAGAAAAAAATTTGTTTTTATATTCTATCATATCTAAAGCTTTATTTTTCGATATTCACGAGTCGCTGGAATTGAAACTTTATTGAGTAAATTTGACAATATTTTTTTTCGATAAAATTTGATGAATTTAATATGAAAATAATTGAAAAATTCATTTACAAGTTAAAATAAATTTTTAAAGTAATATTTTTGTAAAATGGTCAATATTTAAGACTTATAATTATATTCAAGAGGTGGAAATTTTCGTTCCTGTGCATTTGAATTTCGCGCCAGTCTAGTTTTCAAAGTGTGTTTAATTTTTAATAACGTGAGGAAAATATTTACAGGAATAATAATTATTTTCAAAATAATAATTACGTAAATAATTATGATGAAAAAAATTATAATTCAAAAAATTACAAATTCTAACATTTCTTTTGAAAAGAAAAAAAAAACTTTTCTGTATCGTTTTAAAAATAATAATTAAAAAACAAATTATAACTATAATAAATAACTAGCAACAATTCTCGCTTGATTTTTTTTCAAATAAAATTACCAATTTTAAAAATAATAGAACGTAACAATTTTTAATTCAATTTTTTTTTTTAATAATATATGTGAATTGAAATATATAGTTTTAATATTATTATAATTATACTAATCATATATTTTAACATAGGGAATTCAGGGAAAAGTCAGAAATTTTTATTAAAAGTACTAAAAAATTAAATTTTTAGAATTCATAAGAAAATTTTTAATTTTTGTGTCTTTTTTGTTTGATTCATAAACTAAATATTTAATAATTACCGTCCGGGATTAATAATGGACACAACAATATAAACTATAAAATTACCACGAATTCTAATACAAAACCTTTAATTTTTTCAATTTTTGACAAAAATTTCTTTTTAAATAACTGAAATCCTGAACAACTATCATAAAATAAATAAATTATTTAATGAATAAATTTACTTAAGTATTTCAAAATTAATTCAATTTTAAAAGAGTTGCGTTTACAATTTTCATACATAAATTAACTTCAAATGGTTTCAATTTCAAATTTTATAAAATTTCAATGTTTAATGACTTTAATTAAAAATTTTAATGAACTTCGATTAAAATAGTTGATTTATAGAAGAATTTTAGTTAAAAACACTAAAATATTGAATTTCGAAGAATTTACAAATAATTGCAGAAATTCAATTATTTTCAAAAGTAATAAAATAAATAAATACAAAAATTCTTCAAAATTCAATTATTTTCAAAAATTTTAATAAAATTCTTGTGAAAATGTCAATTATTTAAAAAAAGTTTCCTCCTTTCAATGATTTTCAATATATCTACTATTATAAAAAATAATCAAAAAGAATTTAATTATTTAAAAATTATAAAAATTATTTATAAATAAATGAATTTCAAACGTTTTAAATTTTAAATTTTATGAAATTTCAATTTTAAATGAATTTAATTAGAATTTTTAAAGAACTTACATTTTTGAAAAATTTTAATAATTCAAAATTTTCTAAAATTAGTTAATGTAGGAAATTATTTGCTGATTGAGAATTTTTAATTAAGGAAGATTTCGACTATATCAGCAATTAGTGACATCTATTAGACGTCAATTGAACTCTTTGGTTTAGAGTCAGGTGTTATTCTTAAGATAATTATTCCGATATGGTTGTCGGTAAATAATTATATTTTTGAATTTAATTTTTGATCTGAAAAAATAAGCTGCGTGAACGACTGCACTGTGCATCTGTGAGGACTCGAACCCCAGTTAATAGCTGCCTTTCGCGGGACTAACGCCTACCAATGCACCATGCCAACACAGCCTGGACGTTCACGTTTCTTATAATCTCAGATCAAGCCCATACACTAGTCGAAGAGCTGTATAGTTAATGTAGGAAATTATTTGCTGATTGAGAATTTTTAATTAAGGAAGATTTCGACTATATCAGCAATTAGTGACATCTATTAGACGTCAATTGAACTCTTTGGTTTAGAGTCAGGTGTTATTCTTAAGATAATTATTCCGATATGGTTGTCGGTAAATAATTATATTTTTGAATTTAATTTTTGATCTGAAAAAATAAGCTGCGTGAACGACTGCACTGTGCATCTGTGAGGACTCGAACCCCAGTTAATAGCTGCCTTTCGCGGGACTAACGCCTACCAATGCACCATGCCAACACAGCCTGGACGTTCACGTTTCTTATAATCTCAGATCAAGCCCATACACTAGTCGAAGAGCTGTATAGTTAATGTAGGAAATTATTTGCTGATTGAGAATTTTTAATTAAGGAAGATTTCGACTATATCAGCAATTAGTGACATCTATTAGACGTCAATTGAACTCTTTGGTTTAGAGTCAGGTGTTATTCTTAAGATAATTATTCCGATATGGTTGTCGGTAAA